TTGCGGGACCAGGGATTGGACTCAGGACATTGTGCTTGCCAGGCAGGCGCTTACACCACTGAGCTATATCCCCAGCCACCCCCCCTCCAAGTTAGATTCTTGTTACCATAAAAAGTCACTTTTTAAAATATCAAGTTGGGCCGGCCAAATAGCTCAGTAGATTAAAACACCTACTTAGGCACAATCAGTGGCTGGGGTTCGATTCCTGGCATGCTGTGCCAGCCCCGCCCCCAGGGCATGCTGAGACAGTGATTGAGACTGGGCGTGGTGGCACCTGCCTGTAATCCCAGCTCTTTGGAGGTTGATGAACACAGATGGGTCACTACAAATCCTATCTACATAGTGAGACCCTGTATACCCTGTCCTAAAAAAAATAAATAAAATTAAAAATTAAAAAAAATCAAGTAGCTTGACCTCCTTCTTGAGCAAATATTGAAGTCACAAAGTACTAACCGATTTTCTTTAAATATACCCAAATTTACACTGTTCATCCATAATCTCTCATGGACACAGAGCAGGGCCATGGAGATTCACCTTTGAAGAAATACAACTCCTTCCAAATGTGCAGACTGACAGCCACCTAGTCTCAGGGCACATCCTCTCACGTAGCCCGTTTCTGGGAGCCAGAGGCAATAGACAGGCCTGTGCCTTTCAGGCTGGGGAGTTTTAACTCTGGTAATATGTACTACAGAGACTGCCCCAGGAGAACCTAAGACTAAGGTAATTCTGCTTTGTACTTGGACTTCTCTGTCCAACTCTGCTCTCTGCTCCTTCCTTTCTAAATTGTTAAGTCCTAATTAGTAACTTACACCAAGTCTCCATCTCAGCATTTGCTTCCAAAGACCCCAACCATCAATACCATGCTCAGGTATTATTACTATTCTAAATCACTTTATAAGGGCAAGTGCCAAAAGGGCTTCATAACAACTTTAAAATATAACATGCACTTTAAAAATAAAGGCCATGAATATGATTTCATGTGACTGAAGGCAATTTTTGGCTTTTAATACAAGGTATCCCAAACTCTTAGTGCAATTTTAAGTCATCAAGTAATGCTAAATGTACCAGCAATTTGGGAATTGCAAAAATACAAGAGCTGTTCAGGTGGTTTTAAACCAAGCTAAAAAATAATACTGATGGATTAAAGAAAAACCCAGAACAAATGCTCTTAAAAAATGGATATTATTTTTATAATTATATTCAAAGTAAGTTTGAAATACATTGCAGAATTTTTATTCCTTTAAAATAAAATCCGTATATGGAGGCAAACAAAAACTGTTGGTCCATTAAGTATGTGTGTCAAACGGCTGTAGTAGGATCCTATTAGACACCCATCCATAGAATAATTACTGCTTCAATTACAAGATTCAGAAAAACTGTCCTATTTGAGGCTAAGCGAACCAACACACGTGATACAATATATAGTGCTGTTTAACCAGGGAATGGCCGAAGGATAAACGGTTCAGCAAAATCTCATACTACTAATATTGCAATAAAACCAGTTAAGTGTTTGGAAGGAGATGTAATTTAAGTTTAAGCCTCTTATCTTTTACAGCTAAGCATTGAGTAAAGATAATTCTTTTCTACAATGTCCTATGATAAGAATATTTGGGATGTTTGTTAAATTGATTTCCCTGTTTTCCTTTGACAAAATATTCCAAATCAAGTTGCTTTAGGGCAAGGTCTAGGAGTCTGCATTGCATTATTAATACAATATTAAATGCTGCTTACATTTAGCATTTACGTATTAGGTTAGAAAACACCTAATTAAAATGTGTAACTATTTAAAACATTATCCTGGACCAATGATATAGCTCAGTAGTATAGTGCCTAACTGGAAAGTGTGAGGTCCTGAGTTTGATTCCTGGTACCAAGATAAATACATAAATAAATATAAATAAAACATCTTTCTTTTGGCAGTCATCCACTGCTAAGTTTACATATGAATACATATTTGTATACAACAACAGTAGCACTGTGAATGAAACCACAGTTCATTACTGGATTATTCTGTAACCCCAATTAGCTTCACTCTGCTCTAAGAATAGCATTTTATCACACTCTCATTTGAGAAAGTTTGTTCTCTTCTTCACACTTTTATAGTAATACATTAAAACTAATATGCTATAGTTAAATCTACAAACAACCCAAATGCCTGTCAACTGAGGAATGGATAAAAAAGATATATTTTTATACAATGGAGTATTACTCAGCTATAAAGAAAAACTCAAGGGTTTTATAGATAAATGGATGCAACTGGAGACCATACTCCTAAGTGAAATAAATCAGACCCACATGTGTAAACATTGTGCTGTCTCCCTAGTATAAGAAACTGAAAGAGTGAATAAGATATGAAAGGTACAGTAGATATCGTGAAAGGGAAAGAAACTGCTAAAGAGAAAAGAACAACTGAGATGGAGGAAAGGCAAAAGAAAAAGGAAGGGGAAAAAATATACATATACACAAGTTAGCTGTACTATTGGCTTCTATTAGTTTCCTGAGAGGAACAGTTAATGCTTCACTGTTGGATCAATCTTGCATGTCTACGTCTGGTGATCTCTGAAGATAACAATAGGCAATATAAGGACCCCTGCTCATTTCCTAACATCTTGTTTTGAAATTCTCCATCTTTTTAAAAATTCTCTTTAAATAAACTAATATGCTATAAAGATGTTGGGATATTATCTTATGGATTAAAAATTACTCCAACTTTAATAAGCCTTCTCATTTTTAAGTGTTTCTCTACATAAATTTGACATTTCACAGAGTTGCCACCCCACATTACTTCATTCCTTTGAAAATTATTAAAAATGTAACAGCAAAGGAAATAAAATATAACTGAAGTAACACATTCCACTGCTACAACAGCTGCTGATACACTGTTACACTGAATTTACAACCACCTGGCTTGCAAAATGTATTGTAAGAGTTTAGCTCATTTGCCAAAAAATAAATGAGTACCACTGATCTTTATTTTAGAAGTGTATTTTTTTAAAAATACTTTTAATTTAAAGTAATATTCACAATGCAGTAAGATTCTGCATACTGTAATTAAAGGATGTGACTAAAGGATGTTTTGCAGACTACAGCAAGGGCTCAATTCAATTTCATGACTAAATAACAACTGATGAAGGAAAAAATAAAAAATGTAAAAAGTCATGCTGAAACAATAAATCAAAATATAAGACAGCACATGTTCTAGATCTTATTCCCCCAACAAAGAGCAAAAAAAGTTAATTTAAATCCACTTTTTATTCTTTCATAGATTTTTAATAATTTTACACAACTTTTAACAGAAAGAAAGTGAAATCTCAAAGATGAGGAGCCGATATATATGGCCTCTTCTATTTGATCTTCAGGATGGAAGGAAATTTCCAGAGCAGTGTGTGAGATTTAACACTGGAAAAATACATGAAACTTGTTTAACTGGCTGCACTTATGACCAGGAACAGCACAATAAATAGATAACCAAGTAATCTTTTTTAAAAGATTGAGTGTAATTTAAACATATTCTTTCTACAGAAATACTATCAATTACCAATCTGAAATTCACAACATATAGGTGAAGGAACACTTACAATGAATATCTGAGCACAGTTTTTCTAGCATCTTCGCATTCATACATCAACATTCTTAAAAGGAAAAAAAATGTACATCTCAAATTCAGGACAACAAAAAAACAAACTTGGTCAATTAGTTTCTTCTTATCATTCATTATGACCACAATCTTCATTTGCTGGTAGGTTTAAAGTAGAAAAAGAACGTTTTTAAAATCCTTTTCACTTTCACTAGTTTTAGGGCCTTTAGGTAGGAAGGAAGTCTCATTAAGCAGCACCATTAGGTCCACATCTTAATTAATCACTGTATAATTCTTCCCAATCAATATTCTTAGGTTAACAAAAGTTATATGCAAGAATGTTTTTCCTGAATAGCAGTCCACTATAAACAAACACGCAAGGTATAGGAATTTTGATAAAACTATAGTTGCATTTTCTACTGTCTGCATCTTTCTTTATATGACCAAAAGAAACTTATTACATAAAAATTAAAATAACATACTGAGGCATAAAATAAACTTTTATTTATGGTATTACCTTTGTGTATCTGAGATTGTTAGACATGTTCACATACTCTTTCCTTTCCACAAAGAGAGCGCCAGCGCCAGCAATGTCCATCAATACGCCAGCAATGTCCATCAATACGCTTAATAAGAAACAATCTTACAACTACTCTACAGGTGTGCCTTATTATTTTTAAACATACGCTGAAATTATTTTTAAGCTTATACTGAAAAGACAAGGTGAAACTATCTTTTTATCACATGACACCGATGCTGTTAGCAATCAACGTAAACTATTATGCTGCTGCTATACAGCCATGAATAGTCTGAGAAATTTTCTGAGCCAGTGAATGAAAAACCACTTGAAAATAAAGTTGTCTACAACTGGTAAATGGGTTGTTCAAAAATTTAGCAAGCAAACAAACATGCTTACACATGACAATATTAACATTTTGTAAAAGTATCAGGCCATTCTAGCCTCAAGAATTGCTACAGCCCACCTGGGTGTTACAGGGCAAACAGCCTTGAAGCACTAGCACTATGTATCTTCTCTGTGGCATTTACTGCCTCTCTTGCCACATGCTTCTTAGAATCACAGGCTTATATATGTTTCAGGAAAAGAGATATGATGTGGATCAAGTTTTTTGATGATTGTTTTAATTATATTTTAAAAAAGGATTTTCTAGTAAGGGAGATATAGTAGTCCTTGATACTGAATTGTTCCTACCTTAAAAAATGATGTTAATTTAAGTTTAACTCTCTGGCTCTTTTTTCCACTTTTTTAGAGGTAATGATTCATCCATATATTCTGAGCCCCCAAAATGCCTATTTTAAAACAGCATAGTTCCCAACAGTTTCCAATAAATATTCCTGATTTATACTGGAATGCACAATTGGAACACTAATGCATAATTGGAACATTAATCACTCACTTTTTAAAAAGTCTTTTCTGAAAGACTTACTTAGCAAAATGCTAAGCTGCACAAGGCCTTATCACACAGATATTGAGTTGTTACACAAAGTACCTGATAAAGGTTTAGAAATCAGGCCTTCCATTCTAAATTCATTGCAAAGAGTTGTACATGCAGTAGTCCTGTTCACAATTTAATGGAGACGAAGAAAGAGAAAACCTAGGACAAGGAGGGTTGTCATCCTCCCTACACATTTATAGTAGTATAACCATTGTTTATCGTATTTACTACATTCACCATTTCAGGAAAAAGGATCAGGGAGGCTCATCAAACACTACAACAAAGGAATGTTTGTTTTATATAAGACCTACCAAATAAACAGCAAAACAAATAATACACATAGCACTAGTCTCAAAGCTGCACAATAAAGAAGCAAAGCATCTGAGATGAAAATTGAGGAAAATATACACATATGAGCTTGCTGAAGGAGGAAAGAAATCACAGTTCTAATCTTCAAGGCTACGGAATGCATTCTGCATATCTTCAAGAAGTTGTGCATAGTCAGCTTTGATCTTTGCCTCACCATCTTTCACTGGATCCTGAAAACAGACATACATGCAATTTACTTTGACTTAACAGATTTTGAGAACTAGATTAAGTGAGGCATATTGGTAAACCACAGGCACAACTTTTATTTTCCTTTACAGGTTAAAATGTATATAAATGGATCAACAGTCCAACAAACAGAAAGAAAGCAAAATATCAATTTTGTATTTTGCCTACTAACCACATTTACTGAGCAAACCTCAACAATATGCATTATTGAGTTAAATTATGCAGCATCATGTATTAGATGCATATGACAGCTAGGAATTAAATTAATCAAAAGAATTTATGACTAAGCGTTTGATACTGTAACACTGGAACAGAAGTAAAATATGGAAAACAATTTTATTTCAATTTTTTTTCCAGAAAACAATTTTAAAGCCCACCATCTTTATAATTCACATGAAAAGCAACATACTCAGGCAATATATATTAAAGAGACTAACATGTCAAGCTCAATGGTAGTATATTTGACTAGCATACGTGAGACTCTGGGTTTGATTCCCAGTCCCGTAAAAAAGGCAAAAAACAAAGGAAGACACTAAAATGTTCCAGCTTTTTGATCCTATCAGTCACTTACAACAGCAGTGGTGAACCCACAGCATGTGTGTTATTTTGTTTTTCTTTTAAGAATAAGTTAACAGTGAGTTGTTTTTTCTAAACTAAAACCTCAGTATTTGGATTTAATAGCAATACTGTTTCTTTGCAATAAATAAATGTGTGGCAGTTTGGCACTTGGTCTATAAAAGGCTCTCCATCACTGACATAGAGGAATTTACACTAGGAAAAAACACAAAACTGATGACATGAACAACTACATGATCATTAACACCAATAAATGAGAATTTCCTAAATACATAATAAGGAAATATTACTCTGTAGCACCAAATAATGCCATAGAAGAATATTTAATAATAAAAACCAAAACATACCTCTGATGTTAATTTGATTCAATGAACATGTAACTAAAAGGAGTTCACCTTTAATTATACTACTAGAAATTATAATAGGCCTCTTTTCTCATCTTTTTCTATGAATATAATTTTTAAAGACAAAATTCAATGTTCATGGGGGCCAGGGATTTAGTTCAGTGGGACAGCACCTGCCTGGCAAGTGTGAGGTCCTGAGTTCTATTCCCAGTACCATCCCTGGCCCTGGAAAAAATTCAATGTGCATGTACCATTCCCCATGATAAAGGTAATCATGTACTACAAGTGTGTACTAATAAAAATTTTAAAAACTTTTACATCAAATTACATATAGATAGGGGCTGGTGAGATGGCTCAGTGGTCTAAAGCACCTACTTACAACAAGCTTAGCAGAGTACAAGGACCGCGGTTCAATCCCCCAGCACCACATGCCAGCTAGCCCCGCCCCCTGGTGGGCTGAGCTGGCCACACACACACACACACACACACACACACACAATAAATAAATAAATTAAAAAAAATTACATATAGATTTTTTCTCTAACCTGTAAAATTCTATGACATAAGCATTTCTCTATCCTTTGGGGAAAAGACACTAATGTTCTCATATTTTAATTCATGTTCATGCCATAATATGCTATTCGCTCAGTTCATTCTTGGATAACATTTAAGAAGTGTAATAAATAACCATGAACATATACCCATACCAAAAGTGTCTGGTACAAGGATATAGTTCAGCAGTGGAGTGCTATTCTACCACGTGCAAGGTCCTGGATTCTCAGCACAAAAAAATAATACATATATTTTATTATTTCCTAGGTTCATATATTTCAAAGTGGAATGACAGGGCCCAAAGGTTCTCAGTTTTTTGAGACAGGGTCTCACTATGTGTATGTCAGACTGGCACTGAGCTCACAATAGACTAGCCTTGAACTTGCACAGATCCTCCTTCCTCTACCTCCAAGGGCTACCACCCCAGCTAGAATTTTTATACTAACCACTCTGAGTCTTATTCTTAATAGGTGACTAGTAAATATTCCTGGATGTCATAATTTAGAAATAGAGTAATTAAATATAACCTAATTGACCAAATATTTTAAAAACAATCCTGTAATTTGAGTTTCTCTTGGCAACTTCACCTCTCAATTTTGTTTTCAAAAGAACAAGAAGTCACTCAAAAGTTAAAACTAAAATCAGGCATTGAGGCATATACTGGTAACACCAGCATTCAGGAGTGAGAGAGGAGAATCAAACTCGAGGCCTGACAGGGCCATATAAACAATTTCAGGTCATCATAGACCACAGAGCCAGAACCTGTCTCAAAAAAGAAAAAAAGTAATAGCTGGCATCTGAAAGAAGTAAACAAAACAGACGTCATTTCAAAAGAATATGAGGGCTAAATGTTAATAGGTACTTAAGGTAATTGCTGTTCAACAAAGAATTTAGATCTAAATTGCCTGCCAGCTAAGACAAAAAAAGAAAATACATTAGCATTTGAGACATGACATACTATAATTTTTATGACTGGCATACCTGCTTAACATACTTTAAGGCCTTTTCTGGTTTTACATAGCCTGAGTGTGAGTGAAAGTGATAACTGCAAGTTTCATACCCCAGATCTAGAATTCGGATAAAAATAAAGACATGTTTCCTATTTTAAAAAGTTAGAACAGAGATAAAACATACCTTGAATTTCATGGAGGAGAGTTTATAGAGGATCTCCCCCATGTGTTCACGGATAATGGACCATGTGATTTTATTGTCACTCTGGGCAGTGGTCTCAACAGCTCTACGAGCCATATCATAAAAGGCAATCATATTGGACAGCATCCCCACTGTCTTGTAGAATGGGCAGAACCTGGGACAAATGAAGGCCAAAAAAATTAACAGAAACAACTTCCAAAGCAGGTTCACATTTACACAGATAAAACTTCAGGTATGAAGTACCAGGACATCAGCTTCTTTATTTAAAAATATATTCACACTTATACTTACTGGATGATATACAAATAATAAAGAAAACAGAAACTGTTTAATGAGGGTTTAGGGACCAAGATATTTCAATGTCTAGGGCCTGGGATGAGTGGATATGAAACTATGTATTTCTTTTACTTGTTTTACAGATGGTGTTTTTCTCTGTTAAAATCACGTAGAAAGAACAATGAAACAGTACTGCCACAATACAAAAAATTTCCAAGGGTTGTTTTTTGTACAATGCAGTTAATTAAATAAGTAACCCAAAGGTAAAATAACTGAATTGTAAAAAATTTTTTGTGATGGTAGTTAAGGTTTAATGACAAAGGAAAGCAGGAAACTCCAAGTTATTAAAGTTAATAGTTGCTCTTTTCCTTCTAATGTCACTTTCATTTACCCATATCAGATGTACACATCTCAGCACTCAATCACACTTGTTCTCATCAACCTGCTGGCATGTTTAAGACATCTGCACATTATTTCATACACACTCCTGTAACACCCTTTCCAAAGGAGTTTTCCTTTACTGAATTATGTTTGTACAGGTAGTCGATTCCTAGAGCTTCTTAAATTCTTAGTGTAGCAGATTTCTGAAGCTTGATGACATACTGGCACATTTTCTTCTTGCCCTACATTTTGCTTAATTCTTCAATTTTTTTAGTTTTCTATTCTTTGTTTTTACACAGAATCAAATATGATTTGAGGGAGAAGAGTAGCATAAGATGAAAGGGCTCAGATTCTTAAAGTGTAAAAGAAATGCACATGCTAAGCATGCCACAACAGTAGCAGAGATAATAATGAAGAAAAAGTCAGCACTGGGGAGGAGAAAAAAGAGCTGGTTGGGGGATGTAACAAAGAATCTGATAGAAAAAAGAGACACCTAAGAACTCTTGGGAAGTGAGGAAGGACAGAAGAATATGACTTTTCTGTCAAAGGGTAAAAGAGACTGGGCAGTGGAAAGTAACAGTGAGAGTAGGCTTCTAAAGGAGGCAATGATGCCCAGGATCTGCAGACTCAGCACAGTTTAGCATAATTGTGGAAGGCTATATGAATGAAAATACCCTTTAACAAATGAGCAAATCGAGACATTAGGTATCTGCTATGAATATATAAAGGAAGCCAAAATATTGAATTAGGATGTGTCTGTATGACGAAACAAATTTAAGTGGGTAGGCTGCTCCTCTGCCAAACCATAATTAAAATTCTCAAATAAAGAAGGAAATCACCATAGTTTACCTGTCATAAGGAGTATATCCATTTTGCTGCAGGAAGTCATCTTTGATAAGTTTTGCTACTTCCAGAGTGATTTTATCTGTTTCTGCTAATGAAGCCTGGAAGAAAAAATTAGAAATTTAATTCCATGATGTGGAACAAATGCTGACAATCAATTAGTAAGTAGAAATTATATAGTCAATATATAATCATCCATCATTAATAAATTCACTTTATAATTGCTTTTTGATTGTTCTTTTTGTGACAAAAATAAAAACTTTCTCATGTGAAATACAAGAGTATAGTTCAGTAGTGTTAAGTATATTCAGATAGCTGGACAAAGATCTTGAAAATATTTTGCAAATCTGAAACTCTATGTGCACAAACAGTAATTCCACTGTTTACATTTCTGTGATTTCACTAAGATTCTACATATAAGTGAAATCATGGTATCTGTCTTTCTGTGATTGGTTTATTTCACTTAGCATGACATCCTTTCAGTTTATTCATACTGGCTTACTTTCACTCTTGACTATTTCAAACAGTGCTGCTCGTAACACAGGTGCGCAAACTAATATTCTTTTTTGGAAATACTTCAGATTCTGGCTTGCTACCTTAATAATTTCAATTCTCAGTGTCTTGTTTTGTGGTGGTAGGCATTGAATCTAGGGGTAGTATAGCATTAAGCTACACTCCCAATCTTTTAGACAACATCTCGCAAAATTGCCCAGGATGGCTTTTAATTTGCTACTCACCCTCCTTTTTGTCTTTTTGAGATAAGGTCTCACGATGCAATTCAGGCTGGCTTTGAACCAGGCTGGCCTCAAACTCATAGTAGCAATCCTCCTGCCTCAGCCTCCCAAGCCTTAGCATTACAGACATTGCCCTTCTCTAGCTTCTTTAATAATAGCTGGCATTAGAGGTGTGTGCTATCACACCTGGCTGAATTCTCAGTTTTAAGTTTGTGTTAAAGCAATCTATATAGCCTATAAACCATTATTCTTTTTTAACAACACATAATGTTTATTTTTTATCAGTTTACTTGTTTTTTAAAATTAATTTTATTGAGAAACAAATAGCAATGAGACAGTTTCAAAACAGGTTAGTAGGACAGTTATAATAATTAACACATTGCATATTGTTGTCTTTGTAGTAATTACATGATGTTTAGAAGTATGAAGGATAGCAAGCAGGCACTTAATTTATTTCTGAGTGCTGTTTTATTGGTATAGCTAACTTACAGAGCTTCATTCTTTAAACATCACTGCTTCCAACCCACGTTTTGCAACCACTTGGTCAATATTCACAGACAGGCTCAGTAACAAGATTTCTTGAGAATCATGAGAAAGTGGCAGAACCAGTGGGTTTACTGTACCTTAGTAGTATTTATTTGTACTATGATCCTTAGGTAAAGGCCAGTCCATTTCTTTCTCTTTTTAAATTTTTTTTCTTTCTTATTAAAAAAAGCCCCTTTTATCTTCATTCTCTTCTTTAACCACAGATAAGTATTAAAAGGTGGTGTTTTGTTTAAATTTATATGAAATGTGTATTTTATTTTTGTGTAGTTTGTTTTTCATTATGCAAAACAACCTGGTATCTGCTGCTGTAAGATCCATCCTCACTACTGTGTACCACTGTACTGTGTGCTTCCTGCTCACGCAAAATTCATTTTCTGAGGTGTCCACTTTTCAACTTTACCTTCCATATTCTTCCTCTGAGGGCAATCAAATTCCTCTATTTCTGCTACCATAACGGTACACCTAATGGCTCATTTCAGAACTTCTTGGAAGATAAATAGCCAAAAGCAAACTGCTAGGTCTCAAGGTATTAAAACAAATCCTATGAGACTGTTTTCCACAAGGGTAGCACCACCTGAGACATGCAAAGGTGAAACATCTGTCCCTCTATCTCCAGAACACTTAGCTATAACATGTTTTCCAGTTTTTGCATTCTCACCAGTGTAACATGATAGGCACTATTGTCTAGACATTTTTAACAGGACTGTAATTTTTAGGGTTGTTTCTTCTATAACATTTCTCTTAGCAATCTGGTTTCTTATTAACTTAAAGTAAACCTTTGCATATTTGCAATAATATCCACCAGTTATAGGCACCTACTTTCTCTTCCAATCTGTCATTGGTTTTCTAACTTCATCTATGGCAAGCATCTGATAAACAAAAATCCTTATTTTAAAATAATAATTATTTGTAGCCAGGTGTGGTGGTGTACACCTGTAATCCCAGCACTCAGGAGGCTATGGCAGGAGGACTGCCCAGAGTTTGAGGCCAGCCTGGACTACACAGTAAGTTCAGGGGATAGTGAAACCCCATCTCAAACCAAAATAAACAGCAATCCATTCTTCTCTGACTTAACTTATTTACTTCGCAATATCTAGGGTCCATATATACAGGCACATTTACTTCTGTCTTGTTCCAGTATTTGGTTTTTTGCTAATAACAGTTTTATTACTATGGTTTTGTATTAATATCCAATAATGAAAAAGCTCCTTTTTACCTTTAAGGCTGTGACTCCTATTCTCTGAGTATTGCCAGAGAATTGTCTTGATTTGTATTTTTATTGAATCAGGATCCCTTACCTAATTCTTTATTATTATTTGTTTCCTTATTAGTTGTTATTTTTCTATTTATATGAACATATTATTGATGAATAATGGTATTTTACAATCCTTTTTTATGTATTTAGTACATGGTCTACAGGATCTCATTACAAAGATTGGACTCATAATGATTCTCCTGTATTCAGCCTCCCAGATGCTGTGATTACAGGTGTGCACCACCACACCCAGTCTCAGCTGCCTTCTCAGTGTGCCCCGGGGCTGTGGCTGGTATGGCATGCTGGGGGATCAAACCCCACGGCCCCTGCATCTGCGAAGCAGGCACTTTAATCCACTGAGCTATCTGGCTGGCCCTACAACCTTTTTTATTGCTTTTCTTACATCTTTGTTCAGGAACTCTTTTCAATTACACATAATGATAGCAGGCACTCTTGTTTTCCTCCTGACCTTTAAATGCATTCTCCATTTTCTTTGGTTCTGGTACCTTTTATTATTTTACTGATTTTTTTTTTTGTGATAACAGAAAGTGAATTCAGAGCTGCTCTTCACTGAGATGCATCCTGCCCCCCACTCTACCTCCCTTTGAGACAGGGTATTCCTATGTTGCCCAGGCTGGCCTTGAATTTGTAATCTACTTGCCTCATCCTCTCAAGTAGCTGGGATTATAGGTATGCACTACCACACTTGGCTTGTTTGTAACGTCTTAAAAGAGAGTTTTGCTTGGACTCCCAGATTGGTCTGACATGCTTGGATTCAAGGGATCCTTCCTTCCTGTAGCTGGGACTACAGGCACACACCATCCTGTCCAGCTTAGTACATTACTTTAATGAACTAAAGAAGCTGCTTTTATTTCTTGTTAAAAGGTTTCAAAAAATCATAACAAAGTAGCAAAATAAAAATATTTTTCTATATTGATTGAAATATCCTTTTTCCATTATATTACAACTTTTTTTTTTTTTTTTTTTGGGTGGGCCCAGGATGCCTTCAGGGCAGGTCTAGTTTGGTTTGAGGATCTGGGGATCAAACCACAGCATCCTGAGCCTGACTGCTCTGTTTAAGCAGGCTACACTTTTTTTTTGTTCCTCGAACGCCTGCAGGGCACTTTTGGCCAGCGGGCGAGTTGTGAGGTTCGAACTCCAGCAACCTGAGGCTGACAGCTTTGTGGAAGCAGCCACTTAAAGGCCTGAGCTAGGGCCAGGCCCCCTAAGGAAATATTTTTTTTTTTTTTTGCTCCTTGAATGCCTTCAGGGCACTTTTGCATGGCTGGAGTGTTGTGGGGATCGAACTACAGCAAACTGAGGCTGCCAGCATTGTGGAGGCAGCCACTTAAAGAACTGAGCTAGGGCTGGGACCCCAGGCTACACTTTTGAATCATAATAATGGTTTATGTGTTGAATAACACTGATATAAGAAATCTTATTCTATTTCCAAAATAACTTACTGGGTGTAATAAACAAACATATAATATTTTATACCTATATTTATACACAAAATGAACTTATAATTTTCTTTTCCTGTATTGCCTTTAAAAATTTTTAAAAATCATCTATTTATTTGGCACAGGGTCTCACTATGCAATTGGACTCATAGTGATCCTTCTGTTTCAGCCTCCCCAGCTCTGGGATTACAGGCGTGTACCACCATACCTGGTTCCTGTATTGCCTTTTATCTGGTTTTGCAGGTTTTCAGTTTCTTGTTATTCTTGGAGGGCCACAGTATTCTATAATGAATATTTAATACACCATGTGCATATTAACTGTCTAATAATTGCCTCTCCCACAGGAAAAACTTAGGGGTGAATTTATAAAACATAATTTTTTGTTTTTGGCGGAACCGGAGATTGAACTGAGGCCATTGCACTTGTCAGGGAAGCGCTTATTCCACGGCGCCATCTCCCTGGTCGATAAAATATAATTTAAAAGAATAAATCAGATAGAGAACTGTTCTATGTACTTTCTCTAAAGTTATTCAATTCTAAGATTTAATTTGACTAAAATTTTATTTCATTTTACTTGTAGTACTGGGGACTCAAACCATGTGTATCCTAGGCAGACTCTTCTACCACTGATACATCCCCAGGTAATTTGTATAAATTTAATTATACCATCTTCATTTAAAACATCAAGGAAGTCACTAGTTGAAAGTCACATAGCTAATTACTGGAGAAACTACAATTTAAGCCTTCAGATTCCTAGCCATAGTGCTCCTTCAGTAACAGATTTTATTTCTACCACCTCTCACTTGGTTGGTGATAGATAGGTCTATTTTAAGAACTAAAAGAAAATCAAGGCTTTCCTCGTCATCTATAATACATCCAGGACCATGCTAAATGCTCTAAAGAATACAAATTTTTGATTGGTTTAAAATAGTTGATACTGATTACATGTTAACATTTTAAGGCTAGTAATTATTCATTTTGTTAGGCAAGAATCTGTATTGTAAAAGTTTTAGCTGTCTTTATACACTCTACTGTAGCCCACAGATCTGTCCTACATGAGCTTTAACAACTTACCTTTCCCACAAGCTGTACAATTTCTGCCAAGTCTTCTTCTTCCTGAAGAATTTCCTTAGCTTTGGTCCTCAGAGGAACAAACTCTGTGAAGTGTTTGTCGTAGTACTCATCTAAGGCCCGCATATATTTGCTGTAGCTGATGAGCCAGTTGACTGAGGGGAAATGCTTACGTTGAGCCAGTTTCTTATCTAAGCCCCAAAACACCTGATTCAAAAATAACACCCCAAAAGAAAAAGAGATTTGTATTGAATTTCTTTCAAAATATATTTGTTCTAAATCAATTTTATACTTTATTGGTCAAACTATACATATTTTTATACCAAGTATGACTGAAAGAATAAAATTTACAGAAAATGTCAATTAAAAATATATTCTCTCAGGGCTGGGAATATATCTCAGTGACATAAGTGCCTGCCTGGCAATTGTATATATACATACATACACATACTCTTTCTCTCATTTTCAGGGTACCACCTATGAAACAAACTCAAATTTTATGTGAATTTCCTTAAAAGTGTGCCAACTATGATAACAAAAAAGAAAATTGATATATATTTATCTTCAGAGAAGGTCTCACTATATAATCCAGGCTGCCCTCAAACTCACAATCCTTCTGAATGCTGGGAATGCAGACATGTGCCAACAGACCTGGCTTCAAGAGACACTTCACTATGATTAAAAACCTTTTATTTTTTTTTAAACTTTTTTAAAATTTTATTTATTTATTTATTTATTTATTTATTTATTTATGTGGTCAGCTCAGCCCACCAGGGGGCGGGGCTGGCTGGCATGTAGTGCTGGGGGATTGAACTGCGGTCCCTGTGCTTTGCTAAGCTTGTTCTAAGTAGGTGCTTTAGACCACTGAGCCATCTCACCAGCCCTAAAAACCTTTTAATGATCTGATTATATTATTAAGGGCCAATCCAGTAAGATCTGATATTCATTTTTCTTAGGCCAAACATTCACAGACGTTTTTATGTATTTCTAACATCGTGCCATTTTCTCCTACAATTAAAAACTCTAATTTTTAGAAAATGTTAAAGAATTTTAAAGTTGCAAATTCAGCCTCTGCCAATTCACGTCATACTACTACAAACAGGTAAGTGTATCAACTTTAATTTTTTAACTATACCTTTTTTAACTGTCTAACACACCCTTTTATTTATTTTTTATGTATTTGGTTGTTGCAGGGTCTTACTATGTGGCTCAACTCAAAGTGATCCTCCTACTTTCGGCAACACCAGTGCTGGGATTATAGGTGTGCACCACCATGCCGGGCTCTGGCCAGTTCAGCCTGCCGTGGGGGCAGGGCTGCTGTAGCATGTGGGACCGGCGAGCCAACCATGCTCCCTGTGCTTGCCTAAGCAGGCACTTTAGTCTGCTGAGCTATCTTTCTGGCCCCACACCTTTTTACTGAAGCCTCTTTTCAGACCAAACTGCTAGCTATCCTCTAAAATTCATGTTTCTTACGGAAACAAGCGGCTAAAGAGAAACTACATTTTTGGTCTTGTTTCCATCTGGGTATAGTTAACAGAATGTGTGGAATGATGGAGTCACTGCTGAGCCCAGGAGTCCAAAAGTGCATGCGTCCTTTCCACTGTTGGCTCTTATGTCAGCTAGATACAGTGATGGAGGGGCCCTGAGACAGAAAAATGTGGGCCTCCAGCATGATGAACAGGAGAGGGACATTTCCTCACAGGTCACCTGCCCTGGGTCATAGTATGAGGAGGAATGAACTTTTAGATTTTTGCCATTGTACAGTATTGGCCGATTTGTTTAAAGGATAGGATAACTCTAGTTGTATTTATGGGATGTATCTTCTACCTACATTTTTAGTTTATGGTAAACTGGTCAAAAGCCAACAAAAATCAGACAGTATTAAAGGATTTTGGTTTTCAGGATATTCCTAAAACACAGTTTACCACTGTCTACTCTTTGGTGATTAAATATTTCATGATGACTTACATAATGTTAGAATAGCTGAGGAGGGCTTGGAAGTTGACTACATTAGGGAAATACATACCTGAACAATACCAAGAGTAGCAGATGTAACTGGATCAGAAAAATCACCACCAGGTGGAGAAACTCTAGATTAAAAACATATACAGAATTTTTAGAAATGCTTATGAAAAAAGTATATGAAAGCCGATTTTTTAAAGTTAATACCCACTCATTTATTCATTTTTGGTGCTGTAACTGAACCCACTGTCTCATGCCTGGCAACCACCCACATGTTTTATCACTGAAATACACTCCCAGTGTTAAGTTTTTGATACAAGTAACTGTAGAAATGACCCTTGGAAGGAAAAATATTACATATAATTCTTAAGCAAAAGCCATTACTAAGCTGTACATAAGCATAACAATTTTTTTCACTTTTATTTTTTAAAGGCAGAGTCCCACTATTTTGCCAGACTAGCCTTGGGAATTCAAAATGTTCCTGTCTCAGCCTCCAAGGTAATTGGAATTAGAATCTCGTACCACTGTGCCTGGCTTAAACATGATTACTGAATATTTTCTACTGTAAGAAATGAGACCACTTTTATTATAATCAGTTTATTTGATGGAAGGAAAGTCTCAAGGGCAAAATAAGGCTTTATGTGGTAATTGTTTCTACCATGATAACAGCTTCACCTGAGCAGGTCTATAGTTTTCTACTTTGTTCCTAAAATACTTTGACTTGAACATAATACATAGGTGAAGTCCCATCTATGGAACATGAGCATGCAGAGCTCCTTGACGCTCTGTGGTAGCAATGGAGCATAGCTACAATAAGAACCGCTGCTCCTAGATCAAGTTAAAATATTCCTCTTAAAATAAATGACTTTTAGCTTTGTGCAGTGAGATTTATCTGAGGTGGAATTATTGCTACTTGGAAAAAAAAATAAAGTAAGTTACTTTTTTCCTTTGAAAAGTAAACAGTTTGGATGCTTACGCTCCTACAATGCTGACACTGCCTTCTCTTTCAGGATTTCCAAGACATTTCACTCTGCCTGCTCGCTCATAGAAAGAGGCCAGACGGGCACCAAGGTATGCAGGATATCCACTGTCTGAAAGATGAAAGGAAATTTACAATAGAGGTCTAAATCAGCCCTTAAATCCTATCAATCTTGCTTGTATAATAAATAATAGACTTACCTGCAGGCATTTCAGCTAAGCGACCAGAAATTTCCCTAAGGGCCTCAGCCCACCTAGAGGTAGAGTCAGCCATCATACTGACATGGTAACCCATGTCACGGAAATATTCTGACAGTGTAATTCCTAAATTGAGAAGAGTGACACAATTAAATGTTAGAATACATAGTCTTAACTTTTCACCCTCAAGAAAACTTTAAAGCACTACACAGAAAAACTGCAAGCTATTCTTTTTTGCCTGGGCCCTAACCAGAATGGCAGAGTAAACAGCTTCCTAACCATTTGGAATAAGTACTTATTATTGTATGAAATTACATGTTTGGAATTCTCTAATGCCAAAGTCTAGTCTAACCTAACACAGGAAAATATTTTTTTTCCTATTCTTTGTTGAAGTAATCATAAAATTAATTTCCACAATAAAAAATAAATTTCCAAATATGTTCAGTTATTTTTCAAAAGGAACAATTGTTACTAACATGAGTAATATCTCAATTATGTAGGTCTTTCTGCTATGTATGTAGATCGGGTCCTTATAAATTCACTAACAGTAAAACATTTCCAAGAAATTAATATACGGGGGGCAAGAAGGGAAAAGGGATTAAAAAAGGAATTAAAATATGTACATGTATCAACCCCTCACAAGCAATGTAAACATATACTGTACAAATACACGAATAAACTAAAATAAATAAATAAATAAATAAGAAGTTAATATGCAGAAAGAAATCCTGGTTCTGGTTTCTGTCATTAACCCTACTAAATAACTAGATGACCCCTAGATACCTATTTTAATGTCCTCCAAAAACCATAAAGTACTATATAATTGTAAGACATTAAAAATGTGTAGTTATTGTCACAGTATACTGATGGCGGCCACTACTCAGCAGCTCTGAGCAGGACTTAAACTAACCAGTTGGTTTCTCATGTTTACTTGTGAATCTGTCCCAGGCCTAGGCTCCTTGTCTGCAGATGGACAGTGGACTCATAGTAGGTGAACATTTGTTAGTCACTGGTCCTTACTGAGACCTGTAATGGAAGGTGAAGCCTCTAAGGATAAGGTCACAGCTAAGGACACTTGGCTCCAACCTCAAATAGATAAAGCCTGTAGGCTCAGGTCTTCTGGTGGAGCTAACATAACTCTCCTAAATTAACACAAAGCCTTACTTAGAGAAGTGCTTGAGCTGCCATGCTTCTTGAGTATTTCCCTCCCTTGTTCTGATAACTACATAGGGGCTACCCAGAGAAGATCTTGTTCTTAGCCCCAGAAAATCTCGAACTCTTGTGAGAGGATTTTGATCCTCCTGGATCCTTCATGTGTCTCTTTTATTTAGCCTCTGCCATTCACTCATTTGTGAGATTGCAGATCTGATCAGTCTGTAATAACTAAGGGACAATATTAACTTGATAGTATGAGTCTCAAAATCTAATGCCTGACACTCCTTTAATTTCCTAGCAAACAAACAGAAACATATATAACTAAAATGGCTGCTAAAACATTCGGCACTTTGTTATGTGTCATATTACATCATTCAGAATAAAAATCACTAACTTCTGAGACTTCCCATAAATAGTTCCATAAACAACAACCTTAAGAAACATTGCTTATCAACATTAAGGCTTTGGGCCAGCCCAATAGCTCAGCGGACTAAAGTGCCTGCTTAGGCAGAGCACAGCAGGCATGCCGTGCCTTTTGAAGAGCTATCTGAGTTTAAACTTTACGTAAGTAGGTCCAGTCTCAGGAAATTTTTCCTCAAAACTTGTTCTATCAATCATGTGTAGAGAAACACAGAAATAGAAACACACACATACAAACATTTGCACAAAGATGTTTTAGTGCAGCTCTGTTTGTGTTTCCCAGAAAGTAATTAATGCCAGTATCTACCTAAAGGATTTGGTTAGATTATGCTACATCCACAGAAAGGGATACTACTGTGTAACCATTTAAAAGACTAAAAGTAGCGATTTTGTCTTAAGATGGTAGATAGATATACCACTTTTTCCTCTTCATAAAAATTACCAACAAATGAAGAAAACATAAACCATGAAAATATGAACTTTGTTGTCAAAAACTAGGAGACACATTTAGAAACAAAATACTGAAGAAAGCCACCTAAATTAAATGAAAACTAAAGGATGTAGGGAAATATTAAGAATTAATCTGAGGCAGTACAAGTTAGATAAAGCTCATGCAAATCAGCATATGCATGCTAAGAAGGAAAACCAAGAATCTTTTGAAAGTATAAAGAGCAACACAGTCTGTGGAGGGAGTTCCTTGAGTCCACTTTGGCACTGATGAAAAATAGGGAAATGTAGGTGAGTAAAGTACATGTAGGCACTTCCTATTTTCATGGCATAAAAAAATGTGGCCGAAACAGGACAGAAGAGAAAGAATTCACTATGAATGGTCTTACAACTACTGACTTCTGCTGGCAAGAAGAAGTAAACAGTTAGGTAACTTGCTAATCCAACTCTATGTCACAACAAACCTCAAGGCTGCACTGCAGAATTCCTGCTATCCTAGACTGCAGTCATGCTCAGCCCCTCCCATCTCCTTCCTACTCAGGTAACAGTAACAACAATGCCAACACAGAATATCTAAACAAGATAAAAACGAGAGAAAGAAAGGGAATACTATGAGGCTAGAGAACATACCAAGGAATGATGAAAACTAAACATAGTTAATTAAAAAAAAGAAAACCTAACAATGCACTCTGTCATAAAAGCTCTCATCTGTCTAGCCAGATGAGATATTTCATGAACTTGCAGAACTCCACAAAGAGCTAAAAAAGACAGAAAACTACTATAGAAATGAAGGTTAAGTATCATTTAACCTGTGTACATAAAAAAGGCTAAATAAAAAGGACTGCAAAGAGCCAATACATACAGAAAAAATAAAGGAGATCTATTATGTCCAGTTGTTATTGTAAAAAGATTGCTAAAATGGAAGAGAAAACCTTGTACACAATGATTAAAAGTCCTCTGAAATGTAAGCCATATTCATAGATGAAAAGACTATACCATGCCTCAGGAAATATACATTGAATCTATTAATTCTGAGATATATCCTAATAAAATTATGACACTTCAAATTTAAAGAAAAATTCCTTTGGGTAAAACGAAAAATTACTTCTTAAAAAGGTTTAGATCTGTTCCCCACATTTAATAGTATAGTATTAGTTCATAAAAGAAATACTGAACAGGGCTGGCCAGATAGCTCAATGGACTAAAGTGCTGGCGCTGGCCCAGCCCCTGGGGGCGTGCTGAGCCAGTCATTGAGATTGGGCGTGTTGCCTGTAATCCCAGTGCTTGGGAGGCTGAAAACAGGAGAATCACTGAGTCTGATCTACATAGTGACTCTGTAGACCCTGCAGACCCTGTATCAAATATATAAAAAAAATAAAAATAAAACAAATATTGAACCAAGGATTTTATCCTCAGCCAAAACTACTATTAAAGTTTAGATAGGCATTATTATTTCATCAATAAAATCCATTATTTTATGAAAAAGGGAATATTACTCTGTAAACTAGGCTATACACTGTATGAAAATTCACATGCATAACGTATTTATGTTTTGTCTTTCTCCCAATAAACAGAAGCCACCAGCTCACAGAAATATTGCTCCAAGAATTTTTATTCAGTCACAGTATTGTTAAAATTTAGGCAAAGAAAAAATAAAAAGAAAACTTAGGAAGAAATAAGAATTCAGGGAACAATTTTTCCATGTGCCTTTCTTCTTTTCCCCACCATGGTGGTTTTTCTTTTCATTGTATTCTGTACAGGGTCTCACTACACAGCTTGGATTTGTAGTGATCCTCCTGTTTTCAGCCTCCCCAGTGCTGGGATCACAGGCATGTGCCACCACACCCAGACTCTCCCTGGCTCAGCAAGCCCAGAGGCAGGGCCGGCACAGCATGCAGTACTGGGAATCAAACCCTGGTCCCTGTGCTTGCCTAAGCAGGCACTTAGTCCACTGAGCTATTTTGCCAGCCTGCATGCACCTTTCTTAAAGAAATTCTCAAAAGAAAATTTTAGCTAAAAAAGAAATAAATGGAGAATAAGGCAAAAACAATGCCAATGAACATTTATTCCATCTTATGGCAAGTCTAACACTAAATCAAATACTGGATTGTTTCAGAAGAGAATATAAATTTAATAAACCCTAAAGATGTAGAAATCAAGTACTAAAAACTCCAAGTGGGGTGAGAATAAAAATGGAAGAAAATGTATAAACATAACAATTTTCTTCTCTTTTATAGCCCTAATTAACACATTATGTTTTAAAGCTGATAATTCAAGTTAGAGAGGTATAAGTATATTTAAACATAGGTCAGTAGTAAAACACATGATGAAAAAAGTACAAAATACATCATTTTATGGCCATTACAAAAGACTGGGACAGTTTTATAAATATTTTCTGTTCACTTATTCTCAAGATAAAATATGTACAGTATTTATTTTTTATACAATATTTCTTAAAAGCTAGGATGATGTGTATGGAAGTACTCTGAAATAAAAGTTTTTTGTTCAGCACTATCTTTAAACTTAAGAACAGTTTTAATTGCTTTTATTCTAATTCATAACTTACCAGTATAAATAGAGGCTTCTCGAGCAGCAACAGGCATATTGGAGGTATTGGCCACCAAAGCTGTCCTCTTCATAATTGACTCCACCTTACCATCAACTTCCATAGTGAGCTAGGGGCAAGGAAATCCATTAGTGATCCTCCAATTTCTAAATTTAACATTTCAGTTCCTTTTTTTCACAACTTATCCCTACTTAATCTCCCTAATCAGTATTTCCCAAAGCAATATTCCCTATCATTCATCTGTCTTGCATACTCTACAGTAGATACGCATTAGGAAGTGGATATAATTTCCATTTCATAAATTTAAAAGAATCGGAAATGTTACAGTTCACAAAGCCTTTGCAGAGTTCATGTATATAAATGTCTGGTCTGTCTTATCTTTCTCCCAATACTAAAAGAAAAAGCAAGAGAAACTTCCAAGGGTTTGACTTTGAAAAATACAAACTTTTTTGCTTAAATATACAAATTAATCAGAAAAAGTATTTAAATTCTTTAAAAGAGAAAAGAAAAAATGAGAGCATTGCTCCAGACCCAACAAGAAGTTGCCAATGAAAATCGATAGGTAGTATTTCCTCCAGAATGCTGTTTGAAGCTTTCCAAATACAGACCTCTGGGAAGTCTCGGAGAACTTCAGACATCTCATTTCCTCTTTCACCGCACCCTACGTAGATGATCACATCACTGTTAGAATACTTGGACAGAGACTGTGATATTACTGTCTTTCCACAGCCAAAAGCCCCAGGGATAGCAGTCGTCCCTCCCTGTACACACCTGAACAAGGAACAAAAAAAGTAAGGATTACTAGCTAACAAGTACTATTAAACAAAGTAGGTAAGTAACAAAAATACAACCTTAAGAATGCATTCTAATGGATACACACACATACAAGACACACAGACAGAAATATAACTGCTTCCTCAGTTTGCGCCTATAATAGTGTATACCTTTATTGTATTTATAATCTCTAACAAATGAAAAGTGAAAATATATTCCATAGGGAATCAGCAAAAAGAGGCAAATAAGATAAATACTAATGATATTCTAAATGCTAATATGTATTGATTCCTGAAAAGACAACAGAAGAAATAAAACCAAAAGAAAACTAGAAGCAACTTTTGAAACTCGCCTACTGAGGCACAAAGTAAGAGCTAGAAAATGTGTAGCTTATTTTAAATAGCAATGAACACAGTTTTATCCAGGAACTACTGAGTACTTTCTAGATACTAAAAGCTGTGCTTAGAGATGCTACTAGAGAGACTACAGTCTAAGAATGAAGTTGCTATAGTCACGGAGCTCGGATTCTAGTGGGATAAAATGATGAATCAACTAGTGGTTACGTGACATTTAGCAGCTACTTCTAAATGTCCCCTAAAAACTGGCAATGGAGAATAAATATCTTTGGAGGAAGGCAAAGTGGTTATTTCTCTATATGTGTACAAGTATGTGTGTGTGAGCATGTGCCTGTGTGGGGTGTAGAGGATAGGGGGAAGAGTCTGAATAAGAGAAACAGGATTTAATGCTAAGAGAAATGTCTTTGTAATACTTTTTTTTTTTTTTTTTTGCATTTAGTGCAGGGTCTACAGGGTCTCACTACACAGATCAGACTTGTAGCAGTTCTCCTGTTTTCAGCTTCCCAAGTCTTGGTATTACAGGTATGCGCCACCACACCTAGTCTCAATCGCCAGCTCAGGTACTCCAGGGGTGGGACCAGCAGGCGGGGATCTGTGCTGGGGGTCAAACCTCTGACCCTTGCATTTGCCTAAGCAGGTGCTTTTATCCACTGAGTTATCTGGCCGGCCCTTACAATATTGTGTTTTATCATAAAAATTTAGAGAAACATTGCATCCTTAATCGTAATAACAAATTTTCTCAACAGAAAACTAAATATGCCTTAAAATTTTTTCTCCTCCTGACTGCCCCTGGCTTGAGGCCAGCCTGATCTAGACTGGAAAAACAAACAAGGCAAAATATTTTTTTTCTCTCTCCTAAGGTTCTGTCAAGTCATTGTAACCTGGGGTAAGACCGGGCTGGGTGTGTCCTGCTTTGGAAATTCTGCAATCCAGTGTGTAAAGTGATGTCACAGAGAGCTGTGAAAGTAAATCAGGAAAGAGTGAATAGTGTGATGTGAACTGGAGTGAAGCTAGTAAATTCTTCCTGACAACACAGAGACCTGAAAGGAAAAAGAAATACAGAAATAACAATCCAAGCAGAGGGAATAGCATGCCCAAAGGCTCATGGGTAAGAGACACCATTGGTTAAGAATGAAAAGCTTTTGTTACACCTGGAAGGAGACATTTATGGAAGTCATTAGGGAGTCAAGAAGCTGAGACCATGCTAAAAAGTAGACAGTAATTAAAAAATTTTAAGGCATATTTAGTTTTCTGTTGAGAAAATCTGTTATTATGATTAAGGATACAATGTTTCTCTGAATTTTTACTGGGTGGTTTTAAAATAAGTTAACGACTGTGAAAAAGGTTTCAAGTTAAAGGGTGCAGTACCAGATTTGTGTTCCAGATGGACTACTGTGTTGTAAGGACAACCACCTAGGAAGACCGAAGACATAAAGGCTTGTTAAATGTGACTATTATAGGAACGACAGTGAGAGTCTTAATTAGGGTCAGAGAGTAGGGGGTTAGGTCTATGAACATCAGAAGTCACATATTTTAAATTAGGAATCCACTAGATGGGTGATAATCACATTTATGGAGACAGGTAACAAAGAAAAGGAACAAATGAGGACATGGTAATGAAGATGATTTCAGCTTTGAATTTTGAGGCACTTGACTAGAAGTAGTAAAGAAAAACAAGGTGGACAAGTGACTTTTGAGCTCAGGAGAGATCTGGGACAAACATACAGATCAGAGTCAAAACACATAGATAAATATTTAAGTCAAGTCAGTACATAGTAAAGCCATCCAAAAAAAGGTAAGGCACAATAAGCACAGAGAGGCCTCAGAGCAGGAAAACCCTAAGACATGCCACAATTTAAAAGTTCACAACAGAGTAAGAACTTGTGGACAGAAGCTACTTTGTTTTCAGAACTAGGGACTGAACTCAGGCCCTTGTGCTTGCCAGGGAAATGCTTATTCTACTGAGCCATCTCCCTAGCCCTGAGAAGCTACTTTAGATTAAAAAGAAAGAAAAAAAAAGGTGCTTTGAAGAAGTGTAAGACATTATTCAAAGCTGCAGGGATTAAGAAAATACTGAAATTTATGCCCTGAACTGATCAAGAATGAAAGTGACTGATGACATAAGAGTCGTTGAAGAGGGTGATAAAGGCAAGGCCAGAGACAGAGAATTACAGAAGAAATGTGTATAACATACTGTTTCAAGCATACAGAAATAAGTAGTGGAAGAAGGGATGAAGGGCAAACTTTTTTTTTCATAGATGGGAGAGAGTGGGAAGATAACATAGGCAGAGGTTCTTTTTTTTTCCTTCCTTTTTTTCTTGGCCCACTCAGCCCACCTTGGGGGTGGGGCTGGTGCGGCATGTGGTGCCAGGGATTGAACCGCGATACTCTGAGCCTGCCTATGCTTGCCTAAGCAGGTGCTTTAGACCACTGAGCTATCTCACCAGCCCCCTAGACAGAGGTTCTTGAGGAGAAATAAAATGATATAAACTCCAGAAAAAAGGAAGACACAAATGGGAATCCACACAACTAACAATTAAGACAGAAAACTGAAGGAATTCTAAATCTCCTGTCTTTAATTTTACTGTGCAGGCTCTAGCATGATCATTTGTAGAGAGAGAGGAAGAAAAAAGCTTAAAGTTGAAGATCTTACGTAAACACAGCAGTTTGAAATAGCTGCTGAGGAAAACAGGAGAAAATCATAACTAGGGAAATGCAAAAGGATTATTACCTAGCCGTGAGGATGATAATCAATTTATACTAATTTTGCCAGATGGGTGTGATTGAATGCAGAGGAACAAGAAAATTTATTGTCCTATAGGTAAATAATCATAGGAATAATAAGATTATGCAGTCTAAACTGAATAGTGAAGGATATGTCAGTAGGAGGTACTATTAAAGAAGTGTAAAGAGCCAGGGAGATGGCTCAGTAGAATAAGTGCTTCCCTGGCAAGTGCAAGGGCCTGAGTTCAATCCCCGGCTCCGCAAAAAAAAAAAAAAAAAAAAAAAAGAATTGTAAAAAGATGCAAGTCTTAATGAGACATCAATCAACAGCAAGAACAACTCAGAAAGCAGCTTTAAAAGTAAGAGATGTCAAGAGTACATAGGTGTGCTCAGTCCGGGAGCACTGGCTTAGCTATGCATGGAGCTCAAAAAATTGTGTGGACTTGGTAGTCAGAGGTTGAAGGAGTTCCTGCTTTACACTGTTAGTCTTTTCTATGAATAAAATGATGAAGCCATTGTTCAGAATATAACAGGGCATGATGAAGCCTGAGACTTAAAGAAATGAGGATTTTTAAGCAAAGAAAATGGGAAAGAGTAGACTATAAATTAAGAAAGATTTCTGGCAGCATACAAAACCTACCTGATTTTAGAAATCAATTTAAAGTAATAACTTACAATTTATTCTTGGATAACTCAAGAAGTTACACTGCTCTAGCACAAATACTCTTTTTTTTTTTGGTGGACCTGGGGATTGAACTCAGGCCCTTGTGCTTACTCTACTGAGTTATCTCCCCGAACCCCAGATACTGTTCTGAAAACTTTTTTTCTCCAGAAAACTACAGAAATAATGCTGTTTACCTCTGTGGAAACATCACCAATGTTTGACTCTACAACAAATTCTGGCAATGGGTATCTGTATGTAGCTCACCATTATACTCTAAATAAAATTTAAGACTGTATTAAATAACACAAAATATTAACCTATAGTGAGAAGGTAAGCACATACAATGACTGCTACGAATAACTGTGGGAGACATCACAAACTTACGGAAAAAGAGCATCCAAGACTCGTTGGCCGGTCAGCAAAGGGTGATTGGCTGGCAGCTTCTCTGTGACAGGCCGGACCTGACGGACGGGCCATACTTGGACCATATTGAACTTCTCCTTTACACCTTCAAATTCAAGCTCCAAGACTACATCCTGAAAAAATACAGGAGGATTTTGAGTAGGGTCAAATTTGTGCATGTTTCTTCCTCCAAAATTTAAGGAACTCCAGATTCCTCTTGGGGATAGAAAGGAGGGACACAGAAATGCGAAAAGTGATTTACATTTTTACTTTGAACATATAATCTTACGTAGTTTTAATTTTTTTAAAATCAGGTGTGTTACTGTTTTGATGATTTTAGAAAAGCTTAGTAGAGTCTTTTAGAAAAGAGTTTATCAAGCAACAGTGAAATAGTTCATTACACCATGTGTAAACAAATGGTAAAGTCTTAAAGGATACAGCAAGATATTACCAGGCCTAGGGAGAAATGAAAGTTTCATATGTATTTTCCATCCTGTTTTATTTACCTTATTATACTGATCTTATCCTGTTTTAATGAAAAATATCTGTTAAGAATCTCAAATATTTAGAATATTTAAAATAACATAATAGTTTAAATGCATAATTTAAATAGTGTTTAAAATACTTTAAAAATTAATGAAATATTTCAATGTCTAATTTAAATACTTATAAAAGCAAAAAAGTAATGAGTAATATGGCAGCATCTGTGAACTCTGAAGTCCAAAGTTCAAGACCCTATAGAAATCTACAATTTTTGACATATAAATGTGAATTATCTGCTTTTGGATGGTTCCTTCATTTAGAATGAGTGAGTCTCTAAGCTGGTGAGTCTAGCTGATTGCTCAAAACATCAAACTTTACATAAACTCTTATGTAAAAGTAAAGGACTAAGTTACTGAAAGTAAGAATTCACATAATCCATTACACAATTAATGACAGGAATAAAATAACAATCAAGGTCTATCCACTTCATGCCTGCAAAGGCGTTATATAAATGTAGCATCAGTTATTAAGAGGAAATATTTTTCTTAATTTGTATTCTCAAGTCTAAGTCAAAACAAATCTGTCCTTGGAAAATAGTATGTCTAGGGACAGATAGCTTGGTGGTACAGCACTTGCCTGGCATATGCAAAATTCTGGGGCCAATCCTTATCAACACACATACACAAAGTTACTTAAAACGTATATGTTAAACATTTTATTTAGGGCACTGAAACAAGGCAACTATCATATATAAATAGGGCCACTTTGTGGAACAGTTTAAAAAAGTACTTACAGAGGCATCATAATTCCCAGGTGGAGCAATGTAAGTTACAGTCCCTCGGTTTCGTGGAGGTAACATGATTTTGTGTTTGATGAGTGAGTTCTCATTGACAATTCCATAAATATCTCCACCAGTGATATGACTGCCAACCTAGAGAACAAACGTATTTAGCAATTTAATGCTCAAATAAACCTAAAATAGATTCACCCCAGTTGGTATAATTTGATCATTTGTCTCATTTATTAATAAAATATATTACTTCCACAATCTTGGGCCAGGGATATAGCTCAGTGGCACAGAGCCTGTATGGTAAGCGCAAGGTCCTGAGTTCAACTCCTGTCACCAACTGTCCCCCCGAAACCCACAATCTTATTAGTGCATTTAAGGAAAAAAATTAAATTGTGCATTATAGTCTACTTTTATTTGGGTTTAAAGTACTAAATGGAAAAAAAAAAGTACTAAATGGGGGCTGGGGTGATAGCTCAGCAGTCTAAGTGCCTGCTTGGCAAGTGCAAGGACCTGGGTTCAGTCCCTGGTAGTGCATAATGAGACACTGTACCAAATAAATAAATAAAAGACATTTAGAAACATATATTTTTTTAAAGTACTAAATGGTTTCTAAAATATTTATTTCATCCTCTTTTGTCAAGGATAGAAATCACTGGTTATACAGACATACCCGTAAGTTTTTGCATGGTGTAAAATCCCACTTGATATCTCTGCTAAGGGCAGACACATTTACTCCTCTTGGGATGTAGATACTTTGGGTCTGATTGCTGATATCTGACAAAGGCCTTTGAATACCATCAAAAATGGCTCCCATTATGCCAGGACCAAGCTCTACGGAGAGGGGTTTACCAGTACGGAGTACAGGGTCTCCAACAGATACACCAGCTAGAAAGTGGCTGAGGAAAACTCACTCTAAAAGTTGAAAGATACTATTAAAAGAATATATCACAGTTTGAAAGGGAAATAAGCTAAAACAGAGGCTCCTAAACTTTCTTGTTTTATAGCAACCTTTGTGTTTCAGGAATATTTTCAGTGTCTGACAAAAAGTATTTAACAATTCCATTTACTTAGCAGTTTTGTTTATACAACTTAATATACACATGCTAATAAATGAGAAGCAATGAAACAATAACATAAGTTGAAAGGAAAAAAGAACATTAATTTTAGTCCTCCTGCCTCAGTCTCCCAAGTGCTGGGTTTACAGGTATGCACCACCATGCCTGGCCACAATTCTTATGAACAGGATGTAAATCCACATTGGACACTGCATAATTTTTAAACCTTCCACTCAGGCTGGAAACTTCTTCCACACTTGTTTTGACTAACATGCATTTCAGCTTAGCAACCGTCAAAAAGTTAGCTTTCTAAACATAACACCACTGACCAAAAAAATGATACAGCCAAATAAAGGCACTATTATCTCAAGCAACTAGTATCTTCCAAGGTATCTAGTATTGTTTATTAACTTCAAAAAGTTAAAACATTCTTAGCACCATCGGAGTTTGCTATAACTGCCCAGGTGCCTTTAGTTTGGGAAGCATAGGGCTAAAAGTAGAGGCAAAAACCTCTTATTAATTCATCATTTTAGACTGCTGAAGAACAGCAGTCTCCTAAAGATAGCAGTATCTGGGCAAAAGTTTTACAACACCAAGATCTAGGGAAAAAGCCAGGCATGGCAGTGCAGGCTATAATGCCAACATTCTGGGTGGCTGAATGCTGCAGTAGGAGGATCACAAGTTTGAATTGGCAAATTAGTGATTGCTTGTCTTAAAATAAAAGAAGACTGGGGGGCAGGGAGATAGCTCAGTAAAATAAGCGCTTGCCTGGCAAGCACACAGGCTGGAGTTCAATCCTCAGTTCCACCAAAAAAAAAAAAAAAAAAGACTGTGGATCCAGCTCCATGAGAAGGCCCTGGATTCATTTCCTAGTAAAACAATAACAACAACAACAAAAAAATCTAAGATCTTTAAAAAGGAAAAGAGTAAAATATGACAATAAGCAAAGGCAATCTGTCTCACACTCTACTTTCTTTTGGCAGAACTGGGCTCTATTTGTTGACAGGACTAAGATCCAGTACTTTTATAGAAAACAATTTAACACTATCAAAATTAAAAATGGGTAAGCCTTGATCTAGAGATCTAACTTCTATAAATTTATACTGTAGCTACACCATAGCACTCTTTTTTTGGCAGAACTGGGGATTGAACTCAGATCCTTGTGTTTGCCAGTCAAGTGTTTATCCTATTGAGCCATTTTCCCGGCCCCTACCATAGCACTCTTGATAAAAGAAAAAGATGGAAAATAATCAAAATTAAAATTTCTATCATTGAGAAAAAAATGTTACAGGACTGTCCTGTTACAATGCTGTATATAGTTAGATTTCTAAATTTCTGTGTAAAAATATGTAACTGTTTATTCCTATTTTGTTAAAATATTCTGTAGGGACTTAAAGTTTAGCATATCAATACTTGATGGAAAATACCTGTTCCATGTTTTGCCTAAGATGTTCGATATTCAGACAGATAGTGAAGTTGAGCTCAACTGCCTATGTTGTAGGTTAATAATAAGCTTCTCTTCTGGAGGGTTAACAACTTAAGTTTATAAACCAAAATTTAGAGAAAAGGAAGGGCTGCAAGGACAGCCAACATTTTGGACCTAGCTTTTCAAGGTCAGTGAGAACTAAAGACATAGGACAACCTGTACTGTAACATCATATAACTCAGTTGTGTCCCAGATTTTCTCAACAAGGAGATTATGGGGACAGAGAGGAACATGTTCGATGATGTAGAGTGTGCCTAAGGAGAGTCACCTGGAAAGAAAACATTTTCTCAGGCTTTCACAGAGAGCAAATTGGTCAAGCAATGGCCGTGACTCATCCACATGGCTGACACTCACAAAGGATCTACAAACTGAGGTACAGAGTTTCAGGATAAATCCTGAGGGGATTTGAATGACCTTGTCAGATACAAAAGTTACATTTCTTGTTATATAGGTCTTGCTTTATATCTTGGTCTTAACCATCCAGCAGAAAAGTATAAAAACAAAGTATAAAAAGTAAAGCCATATTAATATGCTGAGCTGTAAAAGGCTCAAGTCAACAACTTCTGACATTGCCAGTCTTATGGAAAACCCACTACTATTAATGACTACTGGATTATATTGGAATATTTTGTTGAATTCACACACCTACAATATTTAAATGACAATGAAATACCCTTCTCTGACAAAATTAAACAAAAAAGGGATACAAATGAATGACCATTTTGTATCTGCATATTCAAAAAAGTTAGGATAGATATACAGCTGCATTCTCTTAATTCAATGAATAGAGAGATTTGTTCTAACAGTGTTTGTGGACAGGATATGTCTGCATCTTGTACAATGAATAACCACAAAGACAACAATATGCAACATATTAATTATTGAAACTGTGCTAGTAATCGGTTTTGAAACTATCTCATTGCTATTTGTATCTCAATAAAATTATTTTTTTTAAAAAAGAGAGTAACTAATTATGGAAACCCATGTACAATTTTATGTCGTCATTAAAAAAAATAGGGGCAGGTATAAATTACTCTAGAATGATTTAAAAAATATGTACTTTCATCCCCAACGTCTGATTATGAAACTTTTTAAACCTACAAAGTTGAGTTTTTCAGTGATTCTCTTATCTTTACCATCTAGATTCTACCATTAACATTTTATCATATTAGCTATCCATCTTCTGCAATATACATACATATACATGCATATATAGCAATATAAATATAAAATAATATGCTAGTTTAGGTGGGCATGGTGTCCAATTTACACTTAAAAGTGATTTAAAAAAATGTTTTTATAGTACTAGGGATTGAGCCTAGTGCCTTCACACTGAGCCATATTCCTAGCCCTTTTTTGAGACAAGGTCTTGCTAAGTTGCTAAATTGCCCAGACTAGGTTCTAACTTCAAATATCTTCTGCCTCAACCTCCTAGAGTGCTGGGATCAAAGGTGAGCTTCTCCACAGTTGGCTTAAATGCTAGCATTTTTTTCCTCTCTCTGTATTTTGGGCAGGGTCTACAGGGTATTCAGGGTCTCACTCTGGACTCCTAGTGATTCTCCTATTTACAGCCTCCCAAGCACTGGGATTACAGGCATGCACCACCACGCCCAGTCTCAATCACATCTCAGTGTGCCTTGGGGGCAGGGCCAGAATGGCAAGCAGGGTTCCGCTGTGCTCTGCCTAACCAGGAGTTTTAGTCCACTGAGCTATCAGGTTGGCCCAAAAGCCAGCATTATAATAACCAAATAGTAAGGACCTCCTTGCGCTAAAACCGTTATATATCACCCAGTGCTATTTATTAATTAGTGAGTGGTGACTAACTTTAGACTTATTATTTTAAGTAGAAATCATGATTGAAGAATTTTAGTTTCATTTATGACTACTATAACAATATGTATCCTAATAAAAATACTTCCAAATAGACCCTCTGAAGTTCATGAATTACTAAAATATTAAGGGCAGTGAAATTTCAGAATATATACTAATTTTGTAAAATAACAGTAATCCCTACGGTACTTCTCCTTTAATTATTCAGTATAAGTCAGATCTCTTCCTGACATCTATACTTCATGCTTCTAATATCAATGGTTGTTGCTACTTTGATCTTTGGCTTAATTCCTTAAATTCTAACACATAGTGGCAGGATATTGAACCAAAAAGGATACATGTTTCTTCATATACTTGAATAGTAGCCATATCACCTTCCAGTCTGATAATCTCTCCAACCAGCTCGCTGTGGCCCACTCTCACCAGCTCATACATGGCTGCACCTGCCATGTCACAGGCTGTAACAACTGAAAAGAACAAGACTGCTTTAATGATTTAAGACTCAAATGCTCTGTGAAGTGATAACTAAAAATATCAATAAATCCAATAACATGCCCCCTTCTACATACTCAAAAAAAGATAAAACTCTTACTATAGCTCTACATGAAGAAGTGTTTTTAGTACATGGTATAAATTGGCAAACAAATAAATTTGTTAAGTTAAAGGTTATCAATTTGTGTAACATATACGATAGTCATTTTTCAATGTCTGAAGTTCTGTATATTTTAGTACTGACACGTTTGACCAATCCTCATTATTCTAATACATGTAATGATAGGTTTGGAAAAATAAAAAACTATAGAATTAGCTTTAGAGTACTACACAGTTATCACATGGCTGTCACCATTTCTCTTTAGAGATAGATAGTATTTAAAGTAACACCTGTACTTTGGACTACCTTAAATCCATGGTATTTAGAGGTTTTCTGGGACACATAATGTTTTTGATAAACTAATGATAACCTCTATATAGGAAGAGCCATAAATACAGCTAGAAATATTTTTACAGAACACTGAATGTGTATAATCAGAAGCTACCACTGGATAAAGTTCTAATTAAAAACCTCTATTGAGCCAGAATTTAACTTACAAATTTGGACCATGGTATTTAGTAAGCAAGTAAAACTGCCACATCTTTAGAAACGCCTAACAACAGATACAACTGTTATATGACAGGCAACATAATACATCAGTTTAATCTAAGTTATTGATATTTCCTTAAACTGTTAAAAAAAGAACATTCATTTCTTAAATGTTTACTTCTATAGTATATAAGAAAATCTATGATGGTTTTTAAAATACATTAAAAATTGATACCATTTCTATTATTAAGTAGTTAAGAATTAAAAATTGGTTTCAACAAGAGTTCACTGCACTTTTCTATGGAATGTTTTCCCTTATACTCTGATGTTTTTCTCTGGCCTTTTCTCTGGAAGCTCCTTTGATTAGCCTATCTGTCCTTAAGATCTTTATGATCATCAAGGGGAAAAATTTTCTCTGAATGGCAGAAAAAGATTCTAAATACTAAAATAAATAAAAGGTATTTATGTTTTTATTACTTGCTAAGGAACTCAAGCTCTAACAAGTTCCTGGGGAGGAAAAAAGAAGCACAATGACTAATAGTCTTCATTTTCTAAGCACCAAAAAAACTATCATTCCTTCCACTATGTCTAGAAAAAGAAAGAAAATCACGTGAGACTGATAAAGACTTAAGGAAAAAAGAATTGTCACAGTACAATAATAATTAATAAGCAAGTTTTATCTAGAGAAACTGTAAATCATCTTTTGCTTTGGGACTGCTTAAGAACAAAACACTGAAATGAGATTTTGGCAGACAGTCTAAAATCACTTTCCATTGTTACTGTGTATTAGGTCATAAGACTTCTACCTAGGTAGCTAGTTAAGTGATACTGTATCCAAAACTGCCATTCAGAAGGAGTCATAAACACAAAGAGCAACAGTTGGTATCACTAAGAAATGCTCTAAAGAAAACTGCTGAAGGGTCGGGGAGATGGTTCAGTAGGATAAGCGCTTGACTGGCAAACGCAAGGATCTGAGTTCAATCCCTGGTTCCGCAAAAAACAAAAAAAAAAAAAGAAAACTGCTGAGGTTCAAAGTACAATGATATGAACTGAATGCCTACTCTCTGCAAAGCATTGTATTAAACTTTTTGATCCCAAATTTAACAAAAAATACATATGTATAGGCAAAATACTAAGCACTGGTTATACATCTATGTAACATAAACAAGAAAGCACAAAGTAGCACCTCAATCTATCAAAGTTACACAAGCAATGCTAGATGAGCCCATAGGATGGAGATCATAAGCCATTATGAGATCTTTTAAGGGCAAACAGAACTTATGTGGTAAACATAACTCTGTGTAGTTCTATCAAAAACACCTTGGAAAGATAATCACAGTTAAGAATCCTTACTCTTGAGATGATCATGGATTACTCACCAGGTCCTGAGACCCCATGAACATAACCAAATGTGCTTTCTTTCTCTTCATCAAGTATTTTGGGTAGTTTGGAGAAATCCATTGTGCTAATTTACCTATGGTTTAAAAATAAGAAAATAAAAAAGATTTAAAAATTAAGTCACAATTATAAATCCTAAAACTTAAAAATTAAGTTATAAATCCTAAAACAAAAGAACAAGTATTAAGTGCCTAACATAACATTTTTGGTTTGCTGTTTAGAGTACAGCAAAAGTTACCCAATTATTTCTCTGACTTCCTGTACAATTGTGCTATCATCCACATATACACACTGAACTCTGCCACTTTTCAAAAACACATGCACACTATTCACATAGTTTCTTCCATCTGTTTGGTTTTTATTTCAATACCACTTTCTTCAGGAGATTGCTCTGCTCACTTATTTAGATAATGAAGTACTTTCCTACTTATTGGTTTTTTTATCATTGTACTTTCCACAACTCAACAAATTATATATTTTATATTTTAAATGATTTTTATGGAGCTGGGAATGTAGCTCAATAGTAGAGTGCTTGCCTAGCATATACAAAGTTGTGGATTTGCTCTCTAGCACTGAAAAAATAAACACAATGAAAGGTTTTTTTTTTTCATTATCTATCCTTAAAAACTTATGAGAGAATTTTTCTTTTCTCTTTTTTAGAAGAGCACAAATTGTTTTTAAAATATTCTGTTCAACCTTTAAAACTGCATGAGCGGGGCCGGGGGGATGGCTCAGTAGGATAAGTGCTTGACTGGCAAACACAAGGATCTGAGTTCAATCCCCGGTTCCACCAAAAAAAACAAAAAACAAAAAACAAAAAACAAAAAAAAACAAAAAACAAAAAACAAAAAAAACAACTGTATGAGCTATTGAAGTCCAAACAGAAAATTGGTAATAGATTCCTGGAAAGAAAGCTTAGTTTTGAATATTGGTCTAACTTAGTAATGATTTAATAAGGGATATAAAATGCATGTGTGTATTAAAAAGCTATAAACAATGTCATAACTATAACATTAACAGTCTTAGGACATTAAATGATAAAGTGCTAAATAATATACTTAAAGGAATTTCAAATAATACAGTGCTTAGAAAGACAACTTGATGGCAAGATGGAATTTACATAAACTACGAAAAACAGAGTAGTACAGGCACTCTAGATGCAATAATAATAAAAGAACAGAGACAACATATTTAGGCATAGCAAATAAGACTAGCCTGATTGGTTATAAAAGGGTCACAATGCAGCAACAGTGACAAATCAGGATGCAAAGGTAGAGAGGTTAATTTGTGAGTCTTGAATTGAATGCCAAGAAAACGAGTATATTTTATTCTATAAACAACAGGAAGCAGCAGGAAGATCGAAGGAGAACTATTAAGAGGAAAATGGAGTGCAATCACTCCAACAGATGATGGGAAAAGCAACACACAGGCATGGCGAGAAACTGAAAAAGCTAATTAGGGCCTGAATGCCAACAGAAACCAATTTATTAAATGCTTACTGAGCTCCTCCATGGGAAAGCACCATATAAAACAGGCTTAGAAAATGAGTTGTGACTTAAACACATGACTATTCTCAAGGAGCTTTTGCTGTCTGTTAAGTATATAATAAAGCAAAATAACCCAGATGTTCAATTGAGGTATAAATACATTGGAAACAGAAAAGAAACTGACTCAAAACTGGAGGAGAATGTGAGAGATGGGTAGATCACTGTAGATGAACCACATACAGTGAACAGATGGCTAGAAAGTCATGAGATAGTTAAGTCTAGATAAAAAGAATACAGAAAGGAAAAGCAAATTCTGAGTTTTGGCAATTAACTGAGGCAGTATTGATGAGTGTTTTTGAAGTTCTTTTCAGTCATTGAAGGATTATCATTTAGCCCATGGAAAACAATTTGCAATCTACTACATGTGGTATCAAAAATTTGGGAGTGCACTGTAACAATGAAGACTTTACATACAGTGAAGTTCTGGTTTGATTCATTTAGTCTTATCAGATGTGGGATATTGGACAGGCTAGGAGGGAAGAAATGAAGGATTATAGGCAAAATACAGAAGCAGTAAAAGATGAGTGGTACCCAGGCATGCTGGCATATGCCCACAATCACAGCATTCTGGGAGGCTGCAGAGAGACTGGGCAATTTAGTGAGACCCTACCTCAAAACAACAACAAATAGTGGTGGAGGGGTATAGCTCCATACAAAGGCCCTAGGTTCAATCCCTGTTTGAGAGTCAAAATCCATCCATCTATCCAACCACCCATCCATCAGTGGCTACCAGAGCTTACAAGGAAGGTAGAGATGAATAAACACAGAGGAATTTTAGAGCAGTTGAATTGTATGGTGGATATACATTATTAACTATTTGTCCATATTCACAGAATGCCCAAGAATAACCTAATATAAACCATAAACTGCAAAGTAATAATGCAGTCTTCAGTGAGTTTAACAAATATACTACTCACAGCTGCATAATGTCGTTGATCAAGGGGCAGGCTATGCATGTGAGGGAACATGAAAAATTTTTTACCTTCAATATTCCTGTGAGTCTAAAACTGTTATTTAAAAAAATTTTTTTTTACTTTTTATAAAAAGTAACAGTCAAAACTGAAAACAAAGATATAACCATAGAGGACCAGTGAGATAGCTCAGTGGACTAAGTGCCTGCTTAGGCAAAAGCAGGGGCTAGGATTTGATCCCTAGCACTATATGCTGCACCGGCCCCGCCCTGGGCACGCTGAGCCAGCCACTGAGACCACGGCTGAAACTAAGACTGAGACAGACCAGGACCAAGACCAAGACTGGGGAGACAGGGCATGGTGGCACATGCCTGTAATCCCTGCAATGGGGAGGCTGAAAACAGGAGGCTCACTATGAGTCCAAGCTGCACAGCGAAGTTGTGTACCAAATACATAAATTAAAAAAGAAAAAGAAAAGATACAACCACAGAGTATGTGAAGGCTTGTAAGTGCTAGAATAAGATCAGAGGGAAAAGAAAAGTGTTAAGAACATGGAGATAGTATTGGTTATAAGGTAGAGACAGCTGTAGGCTAATAGTTTGTTGATAAAGATGAGGGTAGGGCATAATTGAAAACAACAGAATTGAAATAGAGAAAAAAAAAAGCAAGCACTACAGTTATCAATGTTATGGTAAAGATAACAATGATTTTAGGTACCCTCAATAAGAAAACTGGAAGGTCAAACAAGGAAGCAGAAATTGCTTATTAGAATTGTTGGCTTCTCAGAAATGAGGAAGACACTAAGTATAGGATTGAAAAAGACTAGAAGAAACAGATCAATTTTCTAGAAACTATCAGAAATAAATGATAGGGAAAAAAGAACAAAATTTGAAGATAAACAGGTACAGTTAGGAAATGCGTTTGGAAAAAGTCTTCCAAGAAGCAGTCAGCAAGCTAATGAGGCTGAACTTCAGTCTTCAGAAAATCAAGGATTTTTAAAGTCAGAGGAGCACTTGATAATCAGTCATAATGTTTAACTTCCTCCCATCTAATACAGGCATTTCCTTTATTTCATTTGTGATGCACGGTCATCTGCCTAAAAAAGGGAAAGAGAGCAGCATGAGCTCTTGAGTCAGGAGACTAGGGACCCAGTGTAGCTCTACCAATTACATGCTGAATACTTCGAACATATCAAATCTTAAAAAATCCCCATTTGAAAAATAAGAATGCTACCATTTACTCCAGAGATGTGAATATATTACAAATTTGTTTAAATGCTCCTTGTAAAATGTGACATGTTTAAAAATTTTCATCAGCAATACTATTTAAGTAGGGCCTCAATTTTGAAAAAAAGCCATTATACAGTCAGAAATGTCTTAAGCTTTGCCTATAACAATCTAATTCTACTTCCTATAACTTCTGTCCTTTGGCCCTGTTATTTCCAACTTTAATAGCCAAATTCTCTCTCTAGGCAAATCCTCAATATCTCCACTGCCCCTCAAAAGAATCCAGTTCAGATCTCTCACTCCCTATGGTTAGGGCCTAGGCTACCCTTTTCTAGAAGTATTTCATGATACTCTAATTTTTAAAAAACAGAGCAAACAATAACAATATTCTAGATGATGTGTAAGTAGTTAAGTGTATCAATCTACTATGGATGCTTCATTTTATTGAGAAACAGAGATCAAAGATTTGAATCAGACAGACTGAATTTATAAACTATGCCTTATAAGAAAATAAAATTCTTAAAATCCAATGGGGTTATGGTAGGATGCCTAACAGCATGCTTAACAGAAAATAAAATTCTGATTCTAAAATGGATTTTTTTAAGCTTCAATGATGTCCTTGCCATTATATCATTGGAAGAAAATGTAATGGAGTAAGATATAATTGTTTCTCTAATCATCTTCTGGTGTATTAGGATAAAAAGACAAATAGGTAGTTTCAATAAAGTGACATATCGATCTCTTTGGAACACTACAGGGCTGGCTAAATAGCTCAGCGGATTAAAGCATCTGTAAGCAGGCACAGAGGCTGGGGTTCAATCTCCTGGGGGCATGCTGAGACAGCGACTGAGACTGGGCGTGGTGGGGCGCACATGTATTCCCAGCACTTGGGAGGCTGTAAACAGAGAATCACTATGAGTCTGATCTAGTAGTGAGATCCTGAACACCCTGTAGACACTTCCCTAAAAAAAAAAAAGGGAACACTACGACCTGAGTCCTAAGAGCAAAAAGCAAAGTTATCAAACTTGGGCACAGAGCAATTTAAACTACTTGAAAGATGGGAACAAGGAGGCACTACAGTACACACTAAAGCTTCCATACAAGATGGTTTAAATGTACTGGATATAAGAATGCGAAAACGGTGTTTGTTCTAGTTTTTTAAAATAAATATTAACATACTTTCTCCTTAAAATTGAACAATTCAGGCTTCCAGATGTGTGAACAATGATTAATGAAAAACAAAAGGGCTTGGTAATGATTCAGTGTCTTGTGAGTTTATCACTCATCCAAATAATCCTGGACATCATGAGAATTTTGGTGATTCTATAGTTTTCAACTTCTTTAAATTTTAAGCATATACACATATATATGTGTTTTTGTTTTTGATACTTG